TTCTTATTTCCTACCATCCCTCTTCTTTCCCCACCATCCCTCTTCTTCTTTCCTACCATCCCTCTTCTTTCCCACCATCCCTCTTCTTTCCCACCCTCTCTCTTCTTATTTCCTACCACCCCTCTTCTTTCCCCACCATCCCTCTTCTTGTTTCCTACCATCCCTGTTCTTTCCCACCATCCCTCTTCTTTCCCACCATCCCTCTTCCCCGCCAACCCTCTTCTTTCCCACCATCCCTCTTCTTTCCCCACCATCCCTCTTCTTCTTTCCCACCATCCCTCTTCTTTCCCATCATCTCTCTTCTTCTTTCCCACCATCTCTCTTCTTTCCCACCCTCCCTCTTCTTTCCCACCATCCCTTTTCTTCTTTCCCACCATCCCTCTTCTTCTTTCCCACCATCCCTCTTCTTTACCATCTCTCTTCTTCGTTCCCACCATCCCTTCTTTCCCACCATCTCTCTTTTCTTTCCTACTATCCCTCTTCTTCTTTCCCCACCATCCCTCTTGTTCTTTCCCACCCTCCCTCTTCTTTCCCACCATCCCTTTTCTTCTTTCCCACCATCCCTCTTCTTCTTTCCCACATCCCTCTCCTTCTTTCCCCACCATCCCTCTTCTTTTTTCCCACCCTCCCACTTCTTTCCCACCATCACACTTCTTTCCCCACCATCCCTCTTCTTCTTTCCTACCTTCCTCTTCTTTCCCACCCTCCCTCTTCTTTCCCACCCTCCCTCTTCTTTCCCACCATCCCTCTTCTTCTTTCCCACCATCCGTCTCCTTCTTTCCCCACCATCCCTCTTCTGCTTTCCTACCATCCCTCTCCTTTCCCCACCATCCCTCTTCTTCCCCCACCATCCCTCTTCTTCCTTCCCACCTTCCTTCTTCTTTCCCACCATCCCTCTTCTTCTTTCCCACCATCTCTCTTCTTCTTTCCCACCCTCCCTCTTCTTTCTCACCATCCCTCTTCTTCTTTTCCACAATCTCTCTTCTTCTTTCCCCTTTCCCTACCCTTCCTTTTCTTTTGTCCCCTTTCCCTGTGATAAATACCATCAAATGGGATTGCTGGGTCAAATCAT